AAAATTAGTCAAAAAGTTACTGGAAAACAGGAAATGAGGGGCAACACAAAATTGTGATGCTTTGCTGTTTTTTATTTGATCCAGCTAGATACCAAGCCAGTAGTTACACAGGGAGCTCTGAACAGTCAAGTCTGGCTACAGGACAGCTACATACATAGAGAGACCATGAAAATGCTCTTATTAGATTTCAAACTGTCGAGGGATCTTTAACATTCAATGCACTTGTCGAGATATACCATCTGTTTCCAATGTGAGTTAAACCCCATCTTCTACCAAATTGAAAAAAAAAAGATAAACCTGAGATACTAGGTTTATTGATAAAGAATTTATATTTGAGTAGTATTATTGATGTGAATAATGAAATATATTCACCTGAGACACTAGGATCAGCCAATGTTATTAAATCAGGAGGTAATACTTCAGGTACTCCCCCTACATTTGTACTTACAACTTTCAACCTACAACAAAAATAACCATTGTTAAAATTTACATAGAACTTCTGTCAGCATGAGACATTTAGGTTTAGAGTGCAATAAACAAACCAAGTACAACAATCTGGACAACAAAACCCTAAATCCAAAACATATCATTCAGTCAGTTTGAGATAATACCTCAACACAGTTTTTCTCGACAGTCAGTAATGCAGGCCAGAGGGCAGACATATTGAAATTAAGGTGCAGATAGGACAATAACCAAGGCAGAAGATAACAGGGTTCATACAGCACTTTGCCTCAAAAATTCAAAGACTTTTCAAGGATATTAGTCTGACAGAATACACATGTACCTAACTTCTGAACTGTGAAATCAATAAAGACAGTTAATATTTATCAATGGGGTTAATCCGTTCTTTCCCTGAAGATGTGTGTGTATTTGCAAATCATCAGGAAGTTTGGTTCTCTTGTCTCCATATACATGTGTATTTGTAGGCTAGTACTGGTGGTGCTTACAACAATGTGTAGTTATAGCCTTGCCAGGCAAGGTAATATATGCCCACTGGCAGCTTTGATTTTGAATATAAATATTTAGCAGTACATCAACAATCACCAGTATGAAATATTCAACCTTCAGTCATATACTTCTTTTGAACTCTTTAGCACAACACTGAATAATATTGAGTAAGAGTTATTGCCCTAGTTCTTGAAAACGTCTTCAATCTTTAGCATGTGAAAACTCTAGAAGGCAAATATTCAATCTTCAGGACTGAATAATAAAACCAATTTGTCAAAATCCAGAAAGAATCATGCCTTTTAGTGTTTAAGAGCTCAATTTGAAAGCGATTTCAAGAACAAGGGCAATAACTCATACTAAATATTTTTCAATTCTTCTGATTTTCAATAGGGTTCATCCTTGGGTGATTACGAGCATTCACACCAAGTTTCATCAAAGTGTTTACGTGCTAAAAATTTAACGCGTTTTCAAGAACAAGGGCAATAACTCATACTAAATATTTTTCAATTTTTCTGTTTTTCAATACGGTTTATCCATGGGTGATAACCAACACTCATGCCAAGTTTCGTCAAAATCCGTCAAGAATTGTGCCTTCTAGAGTGGTTACGAACTAAACGTTGAACGCGTTTTCAAGAATAAGGGCAATAACTATTACTAAACATTTTTCAATTTTTCTGATTTTCGATAGGGTTTATCCTTG